ATCGTCGAAGGTTCTCTCAGATCAAACAGATATGAACAAAATAGTTTTTCAACGTACCTTAGTGTACCTGTGGTTTTCAATAATCACACAAAAATTCGTAAATACATTCGTTAACATAACACGCAAACGTGAAGTATATGAATAAATGTCAATGGCTTCTCAAAACAGCAACCTGTTGACGATCTTAAGTACGAAGATATTGCCAAGGAAGGCAAGGCAACCTGCTTCCCGCGACTATCGCCGGTGATTGAACTGTGGAGGAATCTCCAGCGTCTCACTGGTAAACGTAATATACTTGAACCCATTGATGTAGATTTAAACTCTTTAAATCGAAATTTTATCTGTTCTTCCAACGACTTCCATTCCCGCCCAAACGAAATGTACCTACCACCATGCGACTTAAATCCTGTGAATGTGACAACAGTGGAACAACATCTCAAAAAGGTTCGCGGGTCAACGGCGGCTGGGCCGGACGGTGTCGCTCCTTTTCTCCTTAAGTCTTGCTGTTAACAGATAGCTCCCGCCTTGACCCACCTTATTAATCTATCCTTCATAGAGTCCAAGATTCCTGACGCCTGGCATATAGTAAGAATTACTCCAATCCCTAAAAAATCTTTAACTTTTTGATCCTAAATCTTTCCGTCTTATTGCCTTCTTTTCTTTTCTCCTGAAATTTACTGAACGAGTTCCATAAGATTCCCTTAAGTACTCCTCCGTCAATTTTTCTGATCGTCTACAATTTGCATACAAGGCAAACCGCAGCACCATGGATACTGTTGCTTTAGTTGTCCAATCACCTTTGAGAAACTTAGACAAGGGATGCCATGCATATGCATGTGCTTTTCTCGACTATTCATCCGCCTTCAATACTATTCCGCGCCAACTCCTATTGATCAAAGCACCTGCGTGTGACGCCCCGAGCTGGGTTGTTTCTTGGTATAGAGATTATTTTTCCTTCCGCACACAGTTTGTCCAGTCAGGAAAGAGAAAATCTTCTATTCTTCCAAATAATTGTGGAGTTCTCCAAGGTTCCATCTTATCCCCTCATCTTTTCTCTCTACATACTGATGATTTGAGATCGCCAAACGACTGCCTGTATGTTAAGTATGCCGATGACATGGTCATAGGCCACCCACTCAAAAACCTGACTCATCTACAGTCTTTAAAGGATGGCGTAGATCACGTCTTCCCATGGTCGTCGAATAATGGACTCCTACTCAACAATCAGAAATCAGTACAGTGTGTGTTTCGATTGCGATCCTCTGCCATTCCTGAACCTTTGGATATTCTTCCCAATGAGGTATCCTCTTTCCGGTACCTAGGTGTTACATTGTCCTCAAATCTCTCTCTCTTCCCATGGAAACCCTTTTAGAAAAAGTTAAAAACTTGTTTATTACATTCGTCGTCTACGTTCATATCACACACCCCAGTCCTTACTCTGGCGATTCATAGATGGCTGTATTCTTCCACTCATACTTTATTGTTTTCCAGTTATTTTACCAGCTTTACTAAAAAAGGACTAATTATTTTTAAACATGTCATTCGAATGCCCGTCTCTGCTGCTGGTGTTTTCTATGATATTTAAGTTGATATCATCGTGCAGCGACACTTCAATACGGTGGAACAATTTGCTGACCGAATTCTGAATGACACCGTCCATCCCCTTCATAATGAGTTAAAGGCTGCGAAATCCTTAGGCCCCATGCTTCGATGCTTCCGCCACATCCCTTCTCGCACTTCGGCTTATCAGAATTCCATACTGCCATTTCTAGCCCGGTATCTCACCTGCAAAGATGTTGAAAAACAAAAGCTAAAACTCGATCTTGCACCTTAAAGTCATTTTTTCTTCATATATAATTATGTCCACCTGTCCAATATCTGTTAATCACTATGGTAATTACTGTGTACTGGAGAACCGGTTTGCAGAAAGTTTTGAATGTTATTTTCAAAATAAAGCATTTGTCTCTCTCTTTTCGAAATACGATGTCCTGTGTCGTTTTCGCTCCTCACTTCCGTAGCTATTTGCAAAAGCGTCTATCCATTGGACTAATGTATCTAAATGGAACAGAGGCATGCAATAGTTTTCTTTTAGGTCATGAACGTAGGACCAGTCAGACAGATGACGTTCCTCGGTGGCTGAGAGGGCCTCGGAAGAGGTCCAAGTGAGGCGTCTCTTGGTTAAGTCGTTCACAGTGTCGCTCTGTAAAGGCACTTAAATAAATGAAAAAGTTTTTGGTTTCAAAGTTTTAAACCGTAATGTCTAATAATCTGACCGTGTTTTTTAAGATGCATTAAGGTTTGCAATTTACCAGCAATTAATTTGCACACCGGACAGGTCAGACCTTACTACTACAGACTAGACAAAAAACTACATTGCGTTTTAGACCGAGCAACAATAGTTAACCTGAATTTGTGCATGTTGTCCTTCGACAGGCGCTTCCAGAATTATAGTTTAGCGACAGGGATTTGACCGAGTTGACCGATTATTCGTTTTTTTCCATTTCCCTCCAATATCTGTAAAGTTTTAATGCGGAACCTACGTGAAACTTTAGTCTTTGATTTGTTTTGGAAACGGAAACCTATGTCATATGTTGCTGACCTTGTCGACTCGCTCATCACAAAAAAATGTGCTAATCTCACCAGCGTTCACGCCCCAACTGTCAAGAAGGATCGAGATTACGTGGCGTAAATTTGGAAAGAAAGATTAGCCGATTGCATTGCAGATACTTAATTAATTCGGTCTGTTGTTGCCAGACTTACGCTGATCATAATGTACAACAGTTATGTTTTTTACGAAACTCTTTAAACTACCGCAATAAACGACTGGCAAAATATGCTTAACTTTTGTGACATTACTTCGGATTTTTCTAAATTCTAGCCACAAGCATTAGTGTCATTGTAGCAGTTACCTTCGTAAAACAAGAACTGACGTGTCGGTGCCATTAACGAATTTCGGTCGTCCCAAATGCGATTGCACCGAATTAATTCGATACCTGCCCTCCCTGTTAAGCCTTTAATGGCTGAATCAGGCAAACAGACAATTAGATGGCGTTCCCACTTCCCCGCTGAATAATAGTCATTCGCACACGGCTACGGTCAGAACCACTAGACAGTTAGTCAGCACGTATTTTTTTAAGTTTATCAGTGTGAAAGAAACTTTAATTCCAAACATACAATATTAGAGAATAGGCACCTGTAATTTATTACCTAATTGTATCGATTACTTTTTTTAATCATACAGGAATAAATTAATTATCGCCCCCCCGTCATCATACGCGAACAGGGGGTTTAAATTGCTGCCTATTCCTTAACCGATGCCTGTATGGATGTACATGCACCAAAAGGCTCTGAAAGAAGCTAATAGCAATTTTGCTATCATCTATGCGTGGTGAATTTCCTCACTCAGTTCTGTGTATTTGTGAAGACAAACGTAGTTATCCTGGATTTGAGCCTGTAAAAAAGCCCGGAAGCACAGTTTATCCAACAGACGGCCTGATAGTTTCTTCGTGTTAGTGGCCTTTAAACTGATCGCAAAATTGCCGGTAGCAGTGAGTCCTCAGGCTGTCTGCAGAACCTGGAGGGGGGAATTGGGTGAGGGAAAAAAAAGAAAGTTAAAATAAGCACAAAAACAGGTTTGTGGAATGAACTATGAAGAGGAAATCCGGAGGGATTAAGGCTGCTGGCTTCCCTTTTAAACATGTCAGTTCAGCCTTGAGCTGGGCTGTAACTTGTCGAACACAGCATGTGTGAACACGGCAGTTAAACTATCTCATTTGACTTATTCGTGTACAATATTACTCCGGTGACTCCGTTGTTGGTATGAATGGGTTTTTGGTGATATTACAATTCTGGTAGCGAGGAAGACACTTTCAAGCTGATTTTTACACTTATTTTTTGGCTTTTGGTTAAGCATCCATCCACTTATCTTCGTAAATCCATCTTGCGAATTAATTATTGCCTTTTTAGTGTAAACATGTTTTATTGCTTTTTGATATCTGTGAAAATCTTATTAAACTCTCTTAGTAGATGAACAAGGCATTTATACACTTTGATCAATGTTTGTGAAATTACGTACCCCGTAATATTCATACTTCACGGCGACGATTATTTCGATTGCCATGAACCATGTCAATGTTGAGAATTTAGACTTCTTTGTGAATGCATCAATGTGGCCTCCTTTGTACATTTTCATTACTGACACTGACATCATCTACGGTATGACCACCTCCTGTCGCCAGAGAAACCTATTTCCCGGTCACATAAGGTTTTGTTACTACAATTCGGAAAACAACCCATGGAATATTGTGCGAAGACGTTACAAATGGATAAGATCAAAAGATATTTTACGAAAAAAACAGGTACAAGTAAAATTATTTATGGTAAAATAACCTTTTTATTTAGGCAGAGCGTTTAAAAAGGCACAACTTTTTAAGTTCGGATTACTTCCTTTGACTTCTTAAGCGAGTACTGCTGCCAATCTTGGTGTACGACAGACTATGACCATCCGATTTTATACGCCTCACCTGAAAAACACATATGTCCAACGGTTCTGTGATTCAGGTGTCCTCAGTTTCGTCTTTGCCGGTAGAAATGATTGTTCTACATTGTGTTCTTATGCCCCAATGTGCCATAAACGTCCCTGCAACAAAGCAAAGTATAATTACTTGAAATTCATAATCTTAACTACGCCATTTAAACCTGGTCACAAATGATGAAGACAGGTTTCTGACAGAAGTGAATAGATGTTACATTTGTCGGTACCCAATACTCTGTATAAATATATATTCACAGTAGCGACTACTGATACAAGTAGGTATTTTGCATACTGTGTGCCTCGAGTCCAAAAGTCCGTGCACTACGGACGAAATCTTTATGTTTTTTTATTTTTAGGGCTCTTTTGGACACCTTCGTTATCCGAAACTTGTCCAGTGCAGATATTTCCAATGCAAACCGAAGACTTTATAAAGAATACAACTAACACATCAAAGCAAAATACTTCTATGCTTTCTTCAGATTGGCTCATCGCTATAGCAGCAGTTGCTGGAGCACTCCTTATTTTGTCTGCCATAATTATCCTCATCCTCCTCTCAATACTACATCGACAACGAAAAACACGAGAAGCAGCCACCAGTACTGACGAAAATGTGCTTGGCTGTGCAAATAAATACGTTGATTTTTCTGACAGAAGCCGAGGCAGTGCTCCGCCGATAGATGATCAGAGTTGTGCGTCGACATTGGACCCTTGGGGTGCCTACGCTGCTGAGGATGGAAGTAGTTACTACAGTTCAGTGAATGTTTGTGAATGCAGACGCCAGGTCTTCCAGCGCTGTCCTGATGTGCCACATGCCGAACCTGGTGGGACAGCTCTCAACAAAATTCTGCACTTTAATACCTACCCCCAACTAAACGCGGGCAGTGCGGTCGAGGCAGTCAATGGACATGTGACAAATTGGCCTGCTTTTGTGCAAAGTGCCAGCTGCAACTTCCCGCGCTCCCTCGCGCGTCCAAAGGAATTTTCGCGATGCCTGCGAACCAATCGGAAAGCGCCAAAATCTCGCGAGGTTGAACGCCTCATGAGAGAGTCACAGATGGACTCGGAGGGCATGAAGTGGTCCAACTGAGTTGGCTTTTATGCTCTGAGTGAAATCTGGTTCCCATTCCTGACGCTCTGGTCTTGCATATAATTAAATGCGCCAAAGCAAACAAATTCGGTTGCCACGACAACAGGGCTCTTCGATTCATACACGGCTCAGCTGAAAAAGGCACTGGGTTGCCTCTGGGCAAATCGACTTCCTATTTATTAATACATGAGATCTCTATTTGTGGACGCTTTTCAGAAAAGCTGGTTGTTTTTAAAAATGGTTGGATTCGACATTTCTGCGGCAATTTTTAAATTGAAAGCGACTTTTTCCAAGCCCTAACCACATCGCACAGAATTTCAGTCTGCCAAACTGCTTGTATTTCCTTATCGTGGAGTAAAGTATGAAAACAAAACGGCATCTAACTACTTGCTGTTCAGTCCCATCATGCTGATTCAGTTAAATGAAGGGGTTAAACCCCATCCACATGAATCTCCTTAACAAAGTGAGCTTGACACGTTTTTAAATTGACTAACTTGAGATGATGTCCCACGGTTGGTACGAGTAGGGAATATTGAATTTGCTTAAAATGAATTATTTCTTCAGTAGTACTATGTGACCGTCGGCTTTGAGTTTTTTTGAAAACCTCAGGACAAAGATACCCGCATTTCTTCTAAGGTGGCCACCGACTAATTAGATCACTGTCAAGCGGTGTCTGTTTCTGTGATCAAGGCGACAGTCTTCGCGATTGATTTGCAGTCCACGAACTCAATAGGGCCTTCTGACGAGTGTTTATCATTTCGAAAATGTTACATGCGTGGCACACTTTTGCGTGTATAGTGACGCAACTCCCCTCGCACAACTTGCGTTAATCAGCACCTTGTAGGGGCCGTAGTAGCATTCATTCCGGGCCGTACTGGGCAACAGTCATGCTAGTTTAGAAGAGTTCCCCATTAATACTCGGCCAGTTCAAGCCCTAAGCTGAGTTTATGCCACACAACACTTGCGCTATTAAAGATGCATTTTACCTATTAATGGGAAACCATTAAATAGTTTTTTTTGGGAATACGTTGTAGATTAGCTGCTTTCATCCTCGCCTTAAAAAAATAAGGTAAATGAGAAACCCTGTGTAACATTTGCCTCAGAGAGTGGCTACGGTGCCATTTGCACGTGAAACCAAGTCTGTTAGAACTCGACGTTAATTTGTCAAATCGGAGTTTTTACAAGTTGTACACGTATTACTCTTAGGACAACTGGATTTTTATTGTGCCTGTACGGTTGTAGCAGCTAGGATTGGCTTGGGCTCATTCTGCTCCGAAAGTGCAAAAAATGTCAGTTTGAAAGTCTACACAAGCGGTCTTCGCGAATTAAAAAATCGACCCTTCTCTCCATGTAACCTGGTCGAGAAAATAAGTTCAAGGTAACGCGAAAACTGCATCACTACCACCCGCAAAAGTAGTATTTTGCAAGTCGGTGAACTGCCATGTCTCAAAAATAGGTTGTAATTCCAAACGCCAACTCTTTGTCTTAGGACTCCGGGAATTCCCAGTCACAGGCGGGTATTACGGAAGCGGAGTGCTTGTCGCAGATTTGAATCATTCATCTGGACCAATTGTGAAAATCTCGGCTGTGACTAAACACGCGGCCCCTAGTCGGGGTCATACAGCTCAGGTGATTAGAGCGTTGGCTGTACTGACGCCTTGCCCTAGCTGTCGTGGGTTCGAACCCTACGGAAGGCTGCCGGGGTTTTCACAATTGGGTTGTATTAATAATAAATGTGACAGGGAAATGACTTGCCAAAATTCTTTGAAAATATAGACAGCACGTAATTTATTATGTAGACTAACGTCATCATGAGAGCCCCAGGTGTTCCACATTCGGGGTTTAATATGACTGGCTGACGACGGCTAATAAGTCAGACATGGCCGTTCCAGTTTCCCTTGTCTTTGTCGGTAATTTCATTCTGCCTGTATTTGTTAAAAAGGTAAGTCTTTGTTTTTAATTTGAATAAGGCAAAGACGGCAAAGCATGCAGAATTTACTGACGTCATAAATTTCGAGACCTCTCATTCAGCTGCACACGGTCAGTGCACAGTTATATGACAAGGCAAACTGTTCAAGCAGCAATCGACCTAGAGAGATAAAACGCGATAGCTAACCTGAGACAGGGGTCTAGTATGTGGGTGCGCATGGCGAGGGGGGAGGGGGAGAGAAGTCATCTAAGCATGCGAGTTCGGATTGCAGTGAGAACTTATCAGGCGTGATTAAAAGTGCAAATCGCGGGGGTAGCATTCAGTCATGCCGGGGAGGGGAGGACGGCGGGGTGGGGGTGAAATGAGAGAGCGTATATGGGAACAGGGTTTCGCCTATTATCGATCCTTACCATAGTAGTGCCGGCTTTATCACGTGGTCCAGCTGCTTACAGAGTTCTGGTTTTCTCCTCCGTATTGCAGCGGCTTCTGCAAAGCGCAAGAAGCCAGTTTGCCTTGTCATATAACCATGCAATGACCGTGTGCAGCTGAATGAGAGGTCTCGAAATTTATGACGTCAGTAAATTCTGCATGCTTTGCCGCCTTTGCCTTATTTAAATTTATTTCGGGAAAACATTGCGTCAATTTTTGTTTTTAATAAAGTGCTGCGTTTCAGAGATACCAGCTCTAAGTTATCTGCTTCCGAGGCTTACGAGCTCATGCTTAACATGCTATCACACAAGGAATTAATTAATAAATATTGTCATTCAGGAATCTGGCTGTTGACATTAAGTCTCAATCCATATTTCGGGAGTAAATGCTTATTATGGTGGGTGGGCGTATGAAACTGGTTAATGCAAAATTACACATGTATCATATGTGGGAAAAATGGACGTCATCTCACCCAATTATTTTCCTTTTATTTAAATACAGTTTTAAAAAGCTCAACGCCTGACAGAACCACCATGGCGAATGCGCATCGGCCACCAGTTCCATGGAGAAATACATAAATATTTACCGCAAAAAACAGCGACAAACGTCTTGTTCGTAAATATTATTTTTTTTGCGTGGGATCCGCAAAGCCCGCCGGAAATAACTGTGTCACAACAAGTATGCCGTGGTGAACACTCCGATAAAGGTGTTGATCTATGCTTAGCAGTTTCCAAAACAACCTAGGCAATTTTTGTGATGTTAATCTATAAATATAATGAGACTTCTTCCAAGTTTAACCAGCGATCCACTAGAAGTGACAGCTGCCATCAGGAGTTGTTTTTATTTACATTGACTTAACTCCTTATTCACTACTCAGACCCTTCAGGTCGATCGTGAATCTGCATAGGTCGGCGTCAACGTGCAGACGAATAACAAGCGAAAGATGGGTCGCTTATGATTTATTTATATTAGAGAATTGGTCACGCTCTAACTTCGCACAAAAAAGTAAATAACAGAGGAACTAAAGAAGAAAAAGATGCAATCACTGGAACACCTTTGTACCAATCTGAGCTTCCTGGTTCGTATAGGTGCTTGTCTTCAGAGGCTATGATAGTGTAACAACAACAAGGGAAAAGTTTGTGGTAAGAAAAGGGGGCTGAGGGTGGGGTTATGTTCATGGACGGGCTGGATTCGCGATACCTAACTCACAGTGAATCCTGTGTGAGCCATTCTGATAGACTAGATTTGGTTAAAACTTCGAGTTCTGTCTTTCTGTGATAATTTATCTTTCCAGACCATCCCAAATAACACAGGCAATAAACAACAGTTTTACCACCGACAGCGACGTTCACCACTGCCTTACAAAGTGGGCGCCGAGCCGATTACTTGAGCGTGAATACCTTATTATTGAGATGGACTTGCGCACCACCTAGCACACTCGATTCTCTTTTACTCACAAACACAAGGGAGACTGGAATGGCCATTTCTGGCTTATGAGCCGTCGTCAGCCAGTCATGCCCAACCCCGAAGTGTGGCACACCCGAGGCTCGAACTCGCGACCTGTTAGTTAGAAGTCCAGCGCCTCTAACCACTGGGTCACGGGCCCGTTGCCCTGTCGGTTTCGATCGGTAGTATACAATGGTAGGGGCCGCTTAGGGGTCCAGTGGATAGTGGTGTGGTCCTTATTGCATGTGTCAGACCTTGGTTTCGCATCAGTGAGAGTGCCAAAGGGGCCATTGCATCCAGACTGCTATTCCTGTGTATGATCGAGTTATCCGGTCAAATGGAACCCTCAATTTTTATCTCGTCGTGATGGATTTAGGCACTTCAGATTTACCATAGCAAGGAATGTGCTGATGGGCCTTGGGATGGATTGCCTAGTGTCAATTACGGTCTGCTCCCCTCCCCTACTGCATCAATCGGCTGTCTGAACAGTGACTGACAGAGTTTGGCGTCCACACACTACCTGGTCCCCGATCTGGTTAGATCGCAGTGGTCAGCCAGGAATGGGGAGGCGGACAGCCAGGTCCCCGTCGTACGGGAATGGTGGGAAAGGGGGTTATATGGATGGGGTAAATGGAAGGGCTAGTAAAGGGATTGCTGGAGTTTATGGGAAAACGTAAAGTTACCGGAGGATGTGCTGGCAACTATGAAGTAGGTGGAATAATGGCGGAAATTTAAAACATACCCTTAACCCTAAAATCCAACACGGACCGCAACCGTAAAGCCTAGCCCAAAGCCTCAAAAGCGAAACGTAACCAAAATCCTAAAACCCAACGCTAAACCAAAACCTAGCCATAACCCTAAACCAAACCTTGACCCTAATCCTAACCTTAACCCTGACCTTGACCCCAGCCTTAACCTTAGCCCTAACCTTAACATTAACCCTAACCCTAACGGGAACCTAAAACCTTAACTCTAACACTGAAACTTGACCCTAAAACGCAAACCCTAATCCTAAACCTACGCCTAACACTAACCCTCACTAAACCCAAGAGCCTGACCAAAACGGGTGACCTGCCTAACTCAGTAAGAGCACACCTACTGATAACAAGTTCTATAGACAAGGTAAGCACACCCACTGATAACAAGTACGTACGTCGACAGTATCAACGTGTAATGTCTGGCTACCCTCTGCGAT